ACGACGCGCGCGGCGACCAGGATCGGATTTTCAGATTAGTAAACACAGTCATTGTACTTTGATCGATATATTCGGTTCGGACGAATGTTGAGTAATCATAAATTGCGGTGAGTCTCGTTGATGAGATACCAAAGAACTGTATAGAATATTCCATACTATATATTGTAATAAATTAAATTAAAATTCCCGTATTAATTATTATAATAAATTTATTTCAAATTTTATTTCACTGTTTCCCATTAAAATTTCTTTTAATTTAGATTAAAAATGCTTGAAATTAAGAATTAAAAAAATTCTCAAAGCCCCAGAATAAATACATGCATAATTAAGCTCAATAAAATTGTATACGTTTCATGTAATAAATATTCAAATATTTTCATTTTTGAAAATTTCAAGGTAATAAGAAGAATTAAAAACATTCATTTTACAAGCGAACGAATTAATATCTGAACATGAAGACTGATCTGTTAGACGTAGAGAAACGTATGATTGATTTCATTGTTATATGCTGACATAATACGCTTGTACTCTTTTTTATAATCTGACAGTTTAATCTTTTTGCCTTTTATCGTGTAAATAAAAAGTCATGTGAGATTTCACGCTGATAAGTCCCTTTATTTTATTCATAAAAAAGACGAGCAACCGACCGAAGGATATTGATCAGCACGTTCAAACGGTGCATGAACGGACCATAAAGTTAGATATGCGAATGCAGTTAGCCGCACTTTATCGTGATTTTGTGCTAACAAGGTTTTTTTCACTATTTCAAGAACGCTCGCAAAATTACCAATTTGACGTAAATAAACTTTATTATGTTTTACATAATCTTTTCTTATGCAAAAATTACACGGAGAGAATTTTTCTTAGAGTTTACCATAAAAATATGATACTCGTGGGGCAACATTGTATTTCGACGAATTTTAATGTAAATCTCTCTCATTCATTAATAAAACTACAATAAAGTATAAAATAAGTTTGAAAAATTAATTTTACTGAAGTGCATAGTAAAAATCTTTAAAATATTGTATTATACCACAACTCTATATACTATATTTTCAAGGTAAATTTTAAAAGAAAATTTTCTCCGTGTACGCATATTTCTTCAAAATTTTCTTTTACATTAATATAAAACAAGTCTTTCAAAAGATTAGAGTTTAATAGAAAAATAATATTTTACAAGAAAATGCAAAACTCGACCCGGCGCGACGTTTATATTTTTAAAAAATTTATACAAAATATTCGATTATTTTTTGTTATTGTGTAACGTATATATATATATTAACTATAAATTATTTTCTCTTCGAAAGCTACTTTTTCATGTTTTACGGAATATATTGTGCATAATTTTAATGATTCTAAAATAAGAAATGCAAATGCGTGAGGCAGAATAGACATACCGCTCGTTTCCACCGCTGGTGAATTACGTAAGTTCTTCGCGTGAGCTTCCTACGTTATTTGCGAGACTTCCGAGACATTATGCTAAGAGAATCATCATATGTCACTCACCAGTCAGGGAAGAGCACTGGTGCCTCGGCGAGGATATCCCGCAGGAGGGTAGTCGCAGGCGGCACGTGAGGCAGAATGACGGGTGCAAAAACACCGCAGACTCCGGCACTGCGTCCGTGTCGTGCCTCGTAGCGACTAAGGTAAATCGTCAGGTAGCCAAGCAGATGATAATGCGAGGATGGCAGAGTCGACAGTAGTTCCTTCGTCGAGGCGATCCACGAGTCGTGATCGTTCGCATAGCTCTCTGTGACAGATAGTTTTAATAATAACAAAAAGAATAAAAAATGCAGATCGCAGGACTTGTTGCGTGAGAAATAAGAGATTTAATAAAATTATTATACATATCGATAGTTAGACATCGCAATCAATATTACATATTTCGGCTACGAGACTGGGCTATCTTTAGATATCCAAAAACGCAGTAATGATGAGAAAATTCTCCTATATATAAGTCAATCAAACCAAAGTGAGTAAAAAAAACTGCTCATAAATGATTGGAAGACCGTGCAGAGAAACCTTCTGGATATACGATGTGGTCATTCTTTTGTAATGTACAATGTGATCGATAGCACGCACATAAAAAAATTGTACAAACAGTAGTTCGAAGAACAATCAGATGAATAAAACTAAAAGTACAAAATAAATAGTTAAAATAAATTGTCCAAAAGTGATTAAGAAGATTAAGAAGATTATGTCCAAAAATTAAGTAAAAAAATTGAAATTATTACAAGTGTATATCAATGACGACAGACAAACACTGATCAGATATTTTTATCATAGATTTTATCGGGGGGGCGTCAAAAGTGACGAAATTCAATCAGAGTTGTGGTAAGGTTGTATATCAAAGTTTCCCTCTAATACAATATTAAAATATTCCGCGGTAATTTAAATTTTTAAATGGAAATTTAAATTTTTAAAACTGAAACCACATTTGTACGTGAGATATCCCGGAATAAACGTCTCATTGCCAGTGGAGTTTCTAGTTCTCGGATCCTGAATTATTTTGTGAAATTGGTAGGATTATGGATTCTCACGGGTGTGAATGTTGAGCAGTCTGCCGACGAGGGTGGATGGTACGACCGGCTGCGGCAATTCCTTCAGATATTGACGGAGAAGGGTCGCGGCGGTCGGTGGACACCCGGCTGCCTCTAGATCGGCATCACCCCGCCGCTCGAAGGCCGCCCTCAGTCGCTCTGCAAGCCGAGGACTGCCGCCTGACAGACGAAACACCGCCGCGCTCTGGAAGCCATGCACCTCGATGTAGCTGCATAACCGGTGCACCACGTACGGTACACCTGTGTCGAGATACGACTCGACCAGCTCCAGCCGGGTGCCGAAGATCCTGCTGGAGCCAGCACCGCGGCCCAACAGCGAACCCGCCAGGACGCGCTTTACGCGAGCGAGACGAGACTCGTCCTGAAACGCATGCGACGTTTGATAGGTCGCTTAGGTCTTGCGCATTTATTAAATAATTATTATTTAATTAGAATGTCATTTATATTTTATATCATAATACAATTATACAATACTTAATAATTAAATATACAACATTGTACAGTTGCGCATTACAATTCAATTAATTTCGTTCTAGTGTAATCTAGATAAAATCTACATCTATATATATATATATATATAAAATTATGAAACTTTGATAGAGTACATTTTCTCCATATTTATTTTTCTTAACTCATTCAAATGACATTTTACATCCACTTTGCATGGACTTTACATTCTCCACGTCAAATATCGAGCGATAATTGATATTTCCGACATTCGCAAGACATTTATACGGGTCGTATAAATGATTAGTAAAGTGACGGGGAACGAGAAAGCATATAATCGACGAACGGTCGCTAACTGTTGAAAAGGAGTACCTCGACAAAGTGGAGTAACGAATAGATATAGACTCCGCATTCTCGTTCAATGCAGTAAAAGGACCGGAGTTTCTATAACCGTATCTCAAACATAGAAACAGCTATGTGTCATTGTTTATTTATTAAGACTGCAGTAACCACTGTAGGAACGTTACGCAGCAGTTCTTCTAATCGTTTTAAATTAACAAACATAAAACGACGCGATAAAACTTGAAAATTGAAAAAAGCAAGTTTATCGAATAAAAAATAATTATGTTATTATTATTCACATCAAGAAATACACATTTCGCAAAATATACATATATTGAAATACATATACACTCGTAATATCTTTTGGGTGCATCAGATGTTTATCAAAACGACTAATAATTACAAAACATCGGAAGGAAAGTTCTGACTTCTCGTTAAAATATGAAATTGCAGTAAATGCCAAGAAAAGCACTTACCTTATCGTGTGTTTGACGAGAGCACGTGGGGCTTGTTGAGGATCCATGGTGATGGTGATGATGGTGGTGGTGATGATGATGATGTTCTTGCTGAGGGCGTCTCATCCCACTTTGTCTACACCGCGACCCGCTGCCGCACTAACAAAAGCGACGGGCAAACTTGTAAGTCGCACAATATGCGACAGCATGCAAAACAACGGTCACTCAAAGATTCGTTATTCACTCTCATTCTTATGTCCTCAATCGCGATTTAAATTCGTGATCGAATTAGGTCAGACATATCGAATAGAGAACCTTCTAAATAAAAACACTATTTTACATACATAAAACGAACATGACATATAAAGAATATTTTACATGATAGAGAAAGTTAATTTTATGTAGAAAATTCCGAATATGATGTCGAAAAATTCAATATCAATTGTTCGCGACATCGAAGGATAATGGATATAAATTGAAATAAATACAAGTCTTTTTCAGAAGTAAACGCGGACTATAAAAATAATGAAAAAATTACTGATCTTTTTTTAGATTAGTACGCTTCATATCGATCTAACGCGTAATAACTGCCGTGCACGATCGTACTGGGGAACACAGCACGTCAGTACCGACATTGGCGGTACAATCGCGGAGGTAATTTCAATATTTTCGCAAGCGCGCGATCGATAAGCGCGTGACGAGAAATGCGCATTTCATAACACAGGAAAAGCTCCACTTAAATAGACCGATGAATCATAAATGTTATTCTTCTTCGTTCTCCTTTATCAATAATTTTCATTATTATAAAAATAAGTGATAAACTATTACGTCGTACGAACGAACTTTTCTGTAATAAATACATATTAATTATTCTTAGTATTTTATTCTTTTTTTAAATATAATACCTTTATAATACTTGTGTCAAAGAGAATGGTTCTTTAATTGGAATGTTCTACTTTGCTTTAATTATTATTACAAAGTGTTGTATTTATAACGCGATTCCTTCGGAGCGTATTATATTTCAGTTTGCAAAGTTTAAAGAAATTATTCATCGAAAATCCTTGACAATTGCCGGCTCCCTTAAATAGATAAATTTTTCTGCGACGTAATTTCCAACGATACAAAGTATGTTATCAAAAATAACCCGCCGACCGTTGCACCGATAACCGATAACCGCGGTCGATCAATTTACCTTGTCATCCCTTTTTGCGTGAGAGAAAGATGCGCAGTTTCAAGAAGGGCGATTACGAGATGGTTAATGATCGCTGATGATGCTCGCGCGCGACTGAGACGAGAAAATTTCACGTGAAACGGATTACTCATGTACCAAAATTGTGCCAAAATTTCGTGATTACGTAACGGAAGAGGCAGACGCATAGAGACTCTTGCGTGCGCGCGACATAAATGTGCGGCTTTTAATCCATTAATCGCCTACATACCGAATTTGTGACGCAAAATGGAAAATTACTGTTGTATCGGTTTTTAACCGCGCCACACATTTTGAATGTTTGCCATCAGAAAACCGATGCAAAACATACTGTATAGAGTTCTTTGATAAACACATGAAACATCTTTTATTATTTCTGTAGAGACGTTATAAAAACTACTAATTAATAAGAAAAAGATATTTTTGTAAAACAGTTGTCATTATGTATTCTTTATATAACTGAGCTATCATACTATCATCTTTAATCATTTTAAATATATCACTGAACATCTTTGACGTTTGATAAAAAGATCAATCTAATATTTGATACTTCATATCTTATGTCATACTTAAAATAAATATCAAATTTTTTTAACGTCTCAATAGATTAAATAAATTAGTAATAAAATCAATAAAAAAAAATAAGATTAGGAGTTTTGTACATTCAATTTGATTAAAATCACATTTGCTTTATTGATTTGTACACTGGTTAATAATTTATTAATTCAAAGAATTAATTAACTATATATAATAATGTATATTTCATTATTCATATCGCTTTTATCAAACATCTTAAACATGTAAACTAAGTTAAGGTGTTAAAGAGAAACACTTACAATGCACTCTTTCGCGATCCTCCACAGGTTGAAGTACACTGAGCTCAGCGTGACAGCTGTCTCGTCCTGCTCCTCCCTCCTTTCTTCCCTTCGTCTGGGTTCGCCGTGAGTATGTACTGACAACGTCTCTTCCGGGTTATGATCGTGTTCCTTCGATCCGGCCAGTTCCGGCGACTGGGATCACGGATTTATGTCGAATACCGCGAGTACCGAGTACCGAACGCGAGACCGTGTAAACACTTCCTCGCTTAAAAATGGCCCGTTACGTCGGGATTTTAATTTATCTCGAAATAAGGAGAAAAGAGGAGTCGTTCTTGTTCGTTTTCGTGGTTGGAAGAGCAAGGAACGACTCGTGGGGATGAGTGTGGTGTATATGTATGTATGTATATATGCGAAACTCTCGCAGAGAGAGAGAGAGAGAGAGAGAGAGAGAGAGAGAGAGAGAGAGAGAGAAGGTCCGTCGAAGAAGAAGAAAAGTTCTTCTTGCGTGAAAATTTTGACCGTATGTATATTTTTTCGTTTTTCTTACGACGACGGCGACGGCGACGCCGTTGAACGGAGATCGTGCGACTCGACTAGTAGTTCTGGGTTCATGTCCCTATCACGGCACATCGCATCGAGCCCTTTCTCTAAGGCAAAGGGCACTGCCTATGGCTGGTTTTCCCCCCCCAGCCGTAGCGTAAGCATCGAGGGTCGGAACCGGGATGAGGTCTAGGTCACCACTCCGCCCCTGGCCCTGGCATGGTCTACGTACTTTCTGCTCGGGCGCTTACTGCACCCGCTGCACTCTGGAAGCAGAAAATAAGAAAAAGATTCTTCTATGTTCGCTATAATTGAAGAAGAAATACTTCAACATCAATGCATCTCTTTGTAAAGAGCCTTTTCTGTATTAAAACTACATCTTGTAGTAAATATATTTAATATTATCTGTAATATATATATATATAATATAAATTAACTGTATTTAATATAAACTATCTTTTACACTGAAAAAAAAATATAGTCAATTTTAATAAATATTTAGTTCAATACTGCCAACTAAACATTTACATACAGTAAATAAATATTTGTTCAGTAAAAAGAATGATTGTTAAATCAAAGTAATGTTTCTTGTATCAAATAAATATATCTTTATATTTAATAAATATTTAGTTGGCAGTATTGAACTAAATATTTGTTAAAATTGACTATATTTTTTTTCAGTGTAGGTCACGGTTTTATTCAAGTGAGAAGTATTAGGCTGATTTGATTTTTAGTCTGATATTAATTTAATCCGTTTTGTGTTAGCTTGATGTTAACCCGTTTAGTATTAATATTATAATAATAACAAGCTGTATTAATAGCTCCTGACGATATGATATATGTTTAAAATAATTTATATCTATGTATAAGGCTATCGTGCTATTTTTGCGTGCGCGGCATATGCATAATTACATTATGCATATATTATTTGACAAGCATAACAGGTCATTCGCATTTAACTTGTGAATCATATCAATAATTGAACACAAAACAATTCACATTGCAATGTCTCATCAGATGATTTTTTTTGTTGATATCTATTTTTAGAAGATAGAATTATTTGACACATAACAAAACGAACTCATATGTATTCCGTTTTGAAAAATATTTGTCAACTTTTATAAATATTCTCCTCATGCTGCATGTTGTAAAGATAATAAATTATAAGAATTAGAATACATTCTTCGTTCTTCGTGCTTCGTATTCGTGGAAGCCATAGGATCACAACTAATCTTGACACGTAACACGCTCCAATTTGATTATGCCCGTTGATTCATTTAGCGTATACGGTGTCCGTGGACTATGACTCTTTGAAAAATATACATCGCAATTGAGAAGAAAATTGAGAAATGCGTCTCATCGACTTTTTTATAAATAATTTTCTCGTGACGCAAGGGGCTTAAAAGATTATTTTAAATCTGCGCTTTAATTAATCCAGCGGTAAAGAAATTGATTAAGCATTTATTGATTATATTAGCGACATGAAATAATAATCGTATGAAATAATCATGTATTTATATGTGGAAGACTTCTAGATAAATCAAGCTTCTGTCGAATTTACATTGATACATTTTATTATCATATGAAGCGAGAATCATGAGCATTGTGATTTTATACACGGCGATGAGTCGACGTTAATGCATTTTGCAGCAGAAGAGTCTGTAATTAATCGTAGCTATCGAACTTTTCAGTACATGCGACAGCTTACGAATTAATTAACGCCCGTATAGTACTCGAATTTAATTAATATTCATCATTCATCCATTTGTGACACTCGTCATCGCAACTTGGCAGCAACTACGATCAACTGTTATCTTGAAGACATTTCTGTAAGTATATTTCTCTAAATATAATGAAATACATTCTCATGATAAAATTTTAATTCGACGTATTTCATCGATACAAATAAAGTAAATTTCACAAGAGACTATATTGTTTAATATTTATGTAGAGAGGTACCTAATAATTTTATTTAAATATTCTATTAATTTAAGTAACACGATTTATTTAAAAAGTAAAAATTGAATTGTAAAAATTCAAATTATTATTAATTAGAATGCTTCGTTGTGATTATTAAACTATTTTTATAATATTTTATATATAAAATATTTTTCCCTAAAGTCTTTAAATGTAGTGAATATTTTATTGACTCAATCATACCCATTTTATTTTCAAAGGGGCCTAAAATTTATTTCCTTTATAAAAATTTCTAGAAAAATTGATGACTTTCAAAATAAATTCGTGTATTCCCAATATTGTCTTTTATTTCCTTTTCTGCAGTGCGGTGTTTCAAAACGACACGAGGGATTTCGAGCAGCTTACATACAGTCGAGCGAAAATGAAATTTGCGTAAGTCGCCTCGCTTTTGCGCACGATTCTCTAAACTCGCTCACATTTTGACAACCACGTTACGTGTGAAACAAAATTTAATTTTCATGAATAATTACACGGAAAATGCGCTCGACGAGTTTAACAATGTTACATAATGGTCCATTTAATGCTCATTTAAATTATCTTCAAGATCGAACCTTAAAGCAATAAAAATAGTATGTCGAAGGAGTAACCACTTAATGTAATCGTGAGACAGAGTCCTCGAAATCATTATAAAATTCATATGAAATATCTATGTATAATCCGATAATTACATATGCAACTACGAAATAATTGCATAATATTAAATAAAATCGTATATTTTATAATGACTTCATATGCAGTGAAAAAAAATTTGTAATCAGATGAAATCATATGAAATCACATAATATGTGGGACAATATATCTAATGGTTACCCCCTCGTAGTATGTAATAATCCATGGATTAGGGAATTCTGTCAATGTTACTATTTTTATTGCTTTAAGGTTCGATTTTAAAGATAATTTAATTCATGCATGAATCATCCATAACGTAATTGTGATATACACAGCGCTCGCAAATTACAAAGAGTCAGAATTAAAAACAGGGAAAGGGTTACTGCGTCACTTTTCATCCAACTTCGTATGCACCACATTGATACGGAAACTACACTACCTCGGTACGGAAAGTGCGCGCAAATGTACAACGTATTTACTTAATTCGGTAATATTGCATCCGTAATAGCAATGCAGTATCAGCAAAATGTGACTGTTTGTTTCCATGCTTACGCTACGTAGAGAATACCTTCGACAAATAAGACAAGGCAAATAAGATTCTAATTCAAAGACACAGCGGAAAATTGTCAACCATGTCTTTGTAGGTAATCGAGTTTCGCAGTCAACAAATTGCACAGTGAGCATTATATCGGTAAACACAAGACACAAAGACGATCAATTTTAACAAATTTTGAGAAAATCAAATCTGTCAGCTAAATCCCTTTTAAAACATAGAACGTCAGAATACTTGAGCATATTTTCAATATTACATCCTTACAAGTAAAAATTAATATTAGTCGGAAAACAAACCGATCTTTTGAATATTTTAATAGTTTTTCGACATTAAATATTATCGACGTTTATATAAGATGAGAAATTCGCTTGAGAACACTGACCTAATGCACCCAGTGGAAAATTGCATAGTGGAAAGATTCGTGCGCGGACGATCGATTCGTTCGAACGCGAGATATCGTGCGTGCATCAGCTCAGCGGTGCATGCCCGTGTAGGGTGTCTGCGATCGATATTTTCTGCGAGGGTAAATGGAATGAGCGTTTAATTTCGTACAACGGAAGAGCCGGCGTTCTCCCGGCAATGACGATCAAACGAGATGCACCTGTTTGCGAAACGTCGCGAAGACGTAATTCACAAAATCATATGTTCGAAGCAGCAGGACGAGTAATCTTCGCATTCGTTCCTTATTTCCTTACGAAAAATACAAGGAATTAATGTGAGGGAGGAAACACACACGCGACTTGTTTATTCGCATTTCAAATTCAGGACTTGTGACTTAAGTCCATAATCCATAAGAGCTATTTTACAAGGTGAATTTTGCGTTCTATGAGAAATAAATAAAAGGGAATTTAAGGAGGATCTCGTAAATGGATATTTCGCGTGGATTTTGTAAATCTTCAAAAGTAAAAGAAAAGTGAATCTGGATTATAAATTTACTAATTACACGGACTTATTACAGACTTAATGTAGTACTTTAGTTCCTGATATACTGGATATATATTATACCTTTGAGAATTTTACACAATGCTTATATACAATTTAATATTTCTTCCCTTGCATGCTCTTTGTTTCTTACACCCTCACATTTCATTTTTATAGTTCATTGTGCCATGACTCTTGCACCTGCGCCTCTCGGTGAAGACGAAGGGGGCGGCGGGAGCACGTTGCGCTTAGCAACAACCGCACATTTTTATGTAACCATAGAGAAGAAATCGAATTCCATCAGGTCGACGTGTTCGTTGTCGCGTGTTTATGTTCCCCGAGATAAGACTTCTATTTTTGCTCTTAAATACATATAATGCTCGTTTCCACTAATGTAGTTCACTTTTAGTCTTGGTCAACTAACTCTTCAGCTTTTTAGTTCTTAGAAAAAGATAAAAAGCAAGTTGAACTGAAATTAAAGTTAATCTACATTGGTAGAAACGGGCATTATATGTATTTACATGAAAGAAATCGACCTTCTACAGAGCTTTCACCCCTTATTCTCACATAGTTGCATAAAACGTACG